TAGTGGGAGCTTGGATCTCAGAAAGCAAATCCTCAGACAATTCTCAGCTGCCCTCAAGAGTCTCCTTTATGCACTGGGCCCTGGAGACACCAGGTTCTCCCGCCTTGTTGGTGAGACTCCAGGTCCAAGTGACCAAGCTGGCCAGGCCCCTCACAAAGGTTTACTAAGTACCTACTATGGGCTAGACATGGATCGAGCCTGAACGGTGGTGCAGTTTGAGTGTGAGAGTGCACACCCGTGTGTATTTGTGTGCATGTGCCAGACCACCCAAAGTCAACTCCAGAGGGAAGCTCAAATGGAGCACCAAGTATACCACCGGCCAGGCTGGGAGGAAACCCAGCCTCAGTTTCCCCATCTGTCAAGCGGGGCTTGGCGGGAGGATCTCATGGGCTCAGGGACCACTGCTCTGGCTGAGGTCTCAGGGCCAGGCTCTGCTCTGGAGCTCTCAACTTCATATCCAGCCAGGATCGAGAGCCTGCTCACAGAGCGGCCTCCGACGCCCCACCAGCCCTCCACCAACCGTGTCCTTGGGGGACATTTTTGCAGATTCTCAGCCTGGAGAGCAAGCCGGAGCTGGCTCTGCACAGAAGGCACCACGGGCCCAGCGAGCGCCCCCGCCAGGTGTGCAGGCTTCTCCTGGGGCTGCCTGGCAGGCGGGAGGCGGGGGCAGGGGGTTTGCAGACAAAAGTGCAGGCAAAGGTGCTCCCAACAAGGCAAGGAGGAAAGCAGAAGAAAAACTGCATGGGCAGCAGGAGGACGCTGCCTCCTCCTTTCCCTCCCCCTCCTCACCTAGAGGCAAACATTTTTCTTCCTTACCGAGGCAGGTGATGTGGGCCAGGATGGCACAGCAGATGTGGCCTTCCTCACAGACATGTGCTGATCACAAAATAATTGACCCAGTTATAGAAATACCTGCTCTGGCACCCCAGCCCTCTCCCTCCTGCTCCCCGAGCGAGCCCACAGACCCTGGCATGGTCTTGGAGGTCTTAGAGTACCATCCCTTCCCTTGACATGCTGGTCCCTAGGTCCCTGGGTCATTGGTGTCATTGAAACAAGAGCCCCAGGTAGGCCTCAACTCAGCAATGCTACGTGCAAGTGCAGAGTCCTGTGCAGACAAACCGCCCAGTACGGTGGGCAAGCTGGGAGAAAGTCCCTGAACAAAAGGCGGTGAAAATCCTGAAAGGCAGCCACAGGGAGAGAAATCCTTGCTGGTCTTAAACACACTCCTGCATGCTGGGTTGCATGCAGCAAATTTCCTCATTAAATTGGCCACTGCAAAGCCACGACTGGCTTACAAACTCCCGCGGTATCAAAGCCAGCGATTGTCACAGCTGGGGTCCTCGACCCTTGCTGTTGTTCTGAGTACTGGTAACAGGGTGCAGGGTGGCGCTTCCCTACAACCCATCGTAGACACAGTCTTGGCCGTCACACACATCCAGCCTGTCCCCTGGTGCTGTCCGGAACGCCATAAGCACCAGCGCTTACCAGCCTCAACTCTGATCTTTGATCTCAATTTCTCACGTAATGGCACACGGCTAATGGATGGGGCCAGCTCCTGATGCCACTGGCTCCTCCTCCTGGTGGCCTTGCTAGCCATTCCTGGTGACCTGCAGGGGCCCACCCAACTCATACTGTCTCTGCTTTGGGGGGGGCTCCTCCTGCTCCTAGGGTCCTAATAGGTCTCTGTCTTCATGATGGGGTTGATTGTTGGCTCTTTTGTGTCTTGTTCTCATTCTTTGCTCTGTCACCTTGGAGGAAGTGTAGATGTGAGCCTGGAAGAGAGCAGCCATGTGGTCATGTGACCAAATGCTCTGCTTTCCGTGGCATCTGAGTTGGAAGCAAGTGGTGTGTGTGTGTGTGT